GAAAACTTTGTCATTCTACAAACATCTCATTACTGTGTTTTAAAATTTGTAGCTGAACATATGTAAATAGGTATGAGACACTTAAGACTGTTGCACACATTTTATGCTAGACATGGCCCTAGGTCATATACATATATTTGTGCTATATTTCTAATTTTCACAACTACTGTCAGATATGTCATCTCTGTTCTAAGTGAGGAATCTGGGATTCAGAGAGATGAAGTATAGGCTCAGGATCATAGGTCAAGTGAAGGACAGTGGAGATAAGGTTTAAACCTGGAGTTGTTTGCCTAGAGCCTCTGCTGGTGCTGTTATGTCACTTTTCTTACTTCCTAATGCCATGGGGCAGTTGTAGATATTTGTCAAGTAGATTATCTTTGAGGAGAGAATTGGATGTTATTCAAAATACATATTTTTGTGATAAGATACATAATTTGGAGCCAGAGAGATAGCTTGGGGGTCTGAGTGCCTGCTTGGTGAGTGCAAGGCCCTGGGTTCAACCCCTGGTACTGTGTGCCATGCCGCCCCATGCCAAGTCAGGCACCGAAACCAGGCATGGTGGTGCACACTTGTAATCCCAGCTCTGGGGAGGCTGCGACAGGAGAATCACTACAGGTTTGAGCTGCATAGCAAGACCCTGTACCAAATAAATAATAATTAAAAAAAGATACCTAGATTTTTACTAAATTGGTGCTGATAATGTTTTAAATGTGGCTTGTTTCCTTCAAAACTCATGTCTTACACTTGGTTCCTAGTATAAGAGTCTTGAGAGGTTGTGGGGCCTTTCAGAGTTGGTTAGGCTGCTAAAAGGGGTTGATGAAGGCCTTGAGGATTAATCACCATGAAAGTGTTTTCTTATTAAACTATGCTTCTTTTGCCTTGTCTTCCGTGCTCTCTCTACAGTGGAGCATGAGACCCTCCCCATGTTCTGCTGCTGCCTGGTCTTGGGCTACTGGCTTTCAGGACTGAATATACATCTTTCTTTTATAATTACTGGTTCTTGGATATTTGATGTAACAGTATAAAATGGATTAATGAAGGTGCTAAGGACAAAGGGGCCAGGGATACAGCTCAGTGGTACAGCACCTGCCTGTCAAGCGCAAGGTCCTCAGTTGATTCCCAGGACAAAAAAGAAAAACAAAATGACATGACTCCACGAAACTATGGACTGTGATCCCTGTGGCTTCACCCTGGATCCAGACCTGGTCTTCTCTTAGCCACGTGTCACCTGGTGGCCCAAGGAAGGACAATGGGCCCACACTGCTTGTCTGCAGAGGGAAGGAAATTTATGAAAATCAAATTTGGTGGCACAAGGGAAAGTTTCTTAAAACCCAGGGACAGTTTTGAAAGTTGTTTAGTTGTGACAGTTGACAATTGTTGAGATCAGATGAGCTTTTTTTTTTTTTTTTTTTAAAATGAGAATATGTAAAAATACAAGCTCTCTTGGATTTCTGATGTTTGTGCTGATGGAATCATTCATGTACATGCAATAAAATCAGAAAAGACTCAAGTAAAGAACTTGTTAATAAAGAGAACACATAGAACTAGTTTGTTCTTGGTAAAACAAGATACAATGTACAGAAATCAAATGTGGTATAGGTGTGGGTGGGTGTATTGAAGCCAATTTACTTAAGTTTTTTTTTTTTATTGTGTTAAGTTGATCTTGTGAGGATGGATTTGGATATGTTTGTACTGAATCAAAATGGACCCTATTTTGTTTTTCGTCTTCTTCTTTTGTCCTGTTTTGAGAAGGCTGTGCTTTTTTTTCTTTGTGATTTCCCCTTTTACATTCTGTTTTGGTACCATAGTTTGCCTAAAGAGAGGGTGCCTTCCATCGACATGTCAGACTGGTTAGTCATTGTTGAATTTGGAAATTAGCTTCCTAAATGTTTGTATCTTGCAAAATTGCCCAATAAATTTGGGAGCAATGCTGTGTGTTTTGCAGTGTGGTTTGGACTGCAGCTTGGTGGAGAACATACCTGTTATACACAGTAGGTCCCTGAGGGAGTGGCAGCCATTGCTTTTTAAACTAACTTTTTTGAGACCTAAAATTTCAGGTTTAGTTATGGTTATGCTGCTCCATGATGGAAGAGACTTGGAATTTGTGCCACATGGAAAGGACCAAGCTGGAGCTGGGCTCTGCAGCCTAACAGGCCCTCCAGTGATTCTGATGCATGCTGCCCTTGGGGTAGAGAAATGAGCCTGAAGCCTTTTGGAGGGGGTCAGTGGAGGGATAGGGATCGCTTCTTCAGAGCGGTGGGGCAGAGTCCTGTGCTAATCAGGCAGGTTAGGAGACCAGGAGGTAGAGGCAGAGTTGGAAAGGGGGTAGTGCTCTGAGCAGGAGCCTGTAACAGGCAACTGAAGTTTGGAGGTAGGGACAACAGTAGAGTTAGTTTTAGACATGTTGAGTTTGTGTTGCCAGGGTTGACGTCAGCAACCTGGAAACAAAGTACAGTAGTAGCACAGGCAAAACAATAGAGAAAGACACTTGTGAGTCACCCACGTGGAGGTGTGGGAGTGTGTATTCAGATCGTTTCCCCAAGGAGAGTGGAGCAGGGAAGAGAGCAGAGCCAGGCTGGTGCAGGATCATGTGTTGGTATTATGGCATCTGGCTTTTCTTTCAGTAAGATAAGTGAACATGTTTAGCAATACATACATGGTGATGTAGTTTTAAATAAAATCAGATTTTCAGAACAGTGTTCAGTTTTGCCATAGTGCTATCCTTGGACTCCATGCCGAACATTAGAGGCTTGTCTTTTTTTTTTTAATTAATTTGGTACAGGGTCTCACTACACAGCTCAGACTCATAGTGATCCTCCTGTTTTCAGCCTCCCCAGTGCTGGGATTACAGGCGCACGCCTGGTCTCAGTGGCCCACTCAGCAGGCCCAGGGCTGGGGCCAGTGTTGCATGTGGTGCCGGGGATCAAACCCCCCTCCCTGCACTTGTCTAGGCAGGCCCTTAGTCTGCTGAGCTATCTTGCCAGCCCTGAAACTTGTCTTCATATCTTGTTTTATCTTGGGATACAAGGTTAAGGGTGCAAGGTAAGGTTCTAGTATATCTTTTACCTGAAAAGGAAAGGGAAGGAGGTGTTAGCAGCTAAGGTGTGACATGGAACAGGCTGCTGAGGTTCTAAATTACAGTTTCTTTATTTGTCCAAGAGGATGATTATTGTTCCTGTCTTGGTGTTGTGAGGGCCAAATAAGGTGATCTCTACCAGGTGTGTCCCTCCCTGCTGTACCTGATTGGTTGCTGGACTTTGGGGTCCTGGGCCTTCTGTCTGAAGCACTTACAATATTGATGAGAAGGTAACTCTACGAAGGTATAATACAAGTCTGAATTGGAGTGTGACTATGGGATTATGGTTTTCAAGGAATTAGCACCTTGAAATATGGGCTCCATTAAGTTTGTGAAAAAGAAAGGATTTAGTTTGGGAAATTCCCCTGCATAAAAACAAGATTTGGATATTTAAAAAATTATCCTCTATATGCAACTTCGTTGCAGATTGACATATTTTGCAATACCAGAAAGATGTTTTGCTGAGATCATGAAAATGTAGTACATCTGTGCACCATCTTCATTATATGTAGAACAATTTCACTAATTCAGAATCATTCAGGAAATGTGTGTCTTATTTTCTACTGGGTTCTAATTGGAGTTTTTTTCTTAACATGAGGCATTTGGACCACACACCTACAGTTGGAAATAACATTGTGTTGCATATATAAGAAATGTGTAAGGAAGTCTTACCTTGGAAACTGTATAGCTTCCTAAGCACCCTCCCAACTCCATCCCCAGGAGAAGTGATCTGTGGGCGTGTGTGTGAGCGCATGTGCCTCTGTGCTTCATCACAATGCCGGTTCTGTTCCTTAGCTCTGAGATCCGTTTCATACTGTCTGCATGTGTTAAGAGAAGTAGTGACAGATTTTTTGATCAAAGCTTTTACTACAGACATATTAGAGGCTTTAATTGAACCTTTCATTGAGTTTTAGAGAAAAAAAAATATGTTCATTCATGGCATATGACATGCTTTCAAATGTAAACCTTTAACTTCTTAGGCTTGATTAAGGTTTTATGGGACTCCTAAAAATAACATTTGTCATCTCCACACATAGGAATTAGTGTGTAATTCACAATTCGGCTGGAGTGTTTTTTTTGCTGCTGGGTTGAGTTTGAAGGGCTCCAACCAAGAGCCACCATCCCAGCTCTTCTAGAATGAACTTTGCATCATTAGTTGAGAAAAAGTATTGTGCTCCCACAGCTGCTGTTGCAGTCCTAGCCCTGCAAACAAAAACTATCTCAGTTACCCGAGATTCATGAGAAACTGGCGTAGGCCCAGGGAAAGTCCATGTATTTTAGACTGTGAATTGTATTTATCTTCCTACGGGCATCCCCTGATTGAGTGGGGCAGTGAGGGCAGGAGAGGCTGAATCTTGGAGACTGCCTTCCCGAGGAAGCCTGTTCAGTTAACTGAAAGACTAGGGTCTGGAAAGATGGCTCAGTAGAATAAGCGTGCCTGAGTTTAATCCCTGGTTCTGCCAAGAAAAAAAAAAAAAGGCTAGTTGCTAGGCTGTAAATACCTTTTGAGCCCTTCTTTAAAATTTCATTTTATTTCTATGTGTGTGCAGCTCATGTAGTTTACAGTTGTCTTGAGGGATGATTCCATGTAAAGAGTGAGGAGTGCACCAGCAAAACAGCAAGCCTGTGTATATACAATACATTTGTCCCAGATATATGACCCGGTCTTTCCTTTTCTGTATGTTGCCTCATAGTGTAAATTTCTAGAGTTTGCCTGCAATGTTGGCCCTAACTATTGAAGATGAGTTAGTAATTTGGTAGTGATGGACTTTGTTGTTAAGTCAAGGTTTTACAGACTACTCTGAAAACTAATTATGGATTTGACATTTAATTGCTAGCAGTGGTGAATACTTGTACAATGAATACTTGACCTTGTCTATGTGTGTCAGTCTGTCAGTTACAGTTCAGTTTTTTTGGATTTTAGTGGTTCTGTGAGTGGGATGAAGCGGAGCTACTGCTTCTCTAGAAGCACCTGAGCTGTTCAGCTTCTCCTTGGTGAGTGTAAGTCTGGTCCTCGGGGTACTTTGGTGGTTATTGATTACAGTCAAGGTCCTCAAACTTTTTTGGGAGGGGCGTCATTTGTTATTGCAGGTGAAGGGGGTCTGTGAACTTGGGTGGCTGGGGTAATTAAAAAATCACAGCTTTGTTTTCACTAGCCTCTAGCCAAAAATGTGGCCTTTGCTTTAGTCCTCAAAGTAGACAGAAGAACCATGTTCATTAGCACCTGTGACTTTGTCACATAAAGACTTTTGAATCACATTATTGGAAGTAATCTGAAATATCATTTGTGTCCATCGCTGCTTTGGAAGCTGCCATAGTTCTTAGAGGTGCATACATATTACTACATCAGAATTGCCTTTTAAAGTATTTTAATGTCTGTTTCAGCATAACTTTTTTTTAAAGTCATATTTTCTACTTAAAAACTTTCAAAAATATTTTTCTCATGGGAGGGTCCATGATGCTGAAGTAGTCCATGATCTCTGAAGTTACAAATTCCTACTTGGATGGTACTCATGAGTCTTTCTGGTCTTGCTTTGAGATCAGATTTGTTAATATTAAACCTAGAGTTATGAACATTTAAAAAAACCTTAACATTTGGCTATTTTGGAGCATGGCTTCTCTTTGACTTTTATTATCTGAGGTTCCCCATCTAGAAACACTCAAAGTCAGTTAAGAAATAAAGCTATTGTTGGTGTCCATGTGGTCGTTCTCACAGGCCCTGGTAGCAGTGCCCTTTAAGACTGCTTCCTGCAACCAAATGTTTATGGACCAGAGTGTTTTCTCTTGCATATTTCACATGAGGGGATAGCGATACATATGCTGATATTTGCTGTAGCCCTGAGATGAGGTGACGCCTTGTGACTTGTAAGGATTTGATTCGGATCCCTGCTGCAGGCATACTCGAGGTTAACTTAGAATTTAGTATCCAAGATTAAAAGTCTACTGTGTAAAACTGCCCAGAGAAAGAAATGGAGGCTGCTAGGTCATTCCGCTGCCTCCTGATACCTTTAGCAGTTGTCATATAATTCAGTTAGTAAGAAATGGAGTGGCTTTTTGAGTTCTTCTTTAACACACGAGAATAAGTGTTAAGAATTGGGGAAACATTCCTATGTTACATAGAGATCTTTGCCTCAAGTGAGCCTTCCTATTGTCATCCTGCCTGAACTCCAGGACTCTCCCCTATGGGCTGATGAAGTCAAGAAGTTGCCCATTTGGCATATATTTCTATTGAATGGTGCTCCAGGTCACAATGCTGTGGTTTGAAATAACTGATTAGTTGGATGTTTAGCAGAACTAGGACCTTTCAGAGATTTCAGTGATAACAAACAGCCAGCTGTGGGGAGCAGTAGGTTTGCCACCACTGGACTAGACAGTGGGTATTTCAGTAGAGGCATAGGGTGGTACTCTGGGTGTGTGTATGTGTGTCTCTATGTCTGGCAAAGTGACTTTTATTTTTTTTTTCCCTTTTGGCCAATTTTATCTTTGGTTTTTCTCACCAGTCCCCTGGGAAAAATAGCTTCTCTCATTTTTATCCAGAGGAGGAGGCGGCATAATATGAACTGGGTGGTCAGACTCTTGGAGCCAGACTGCCTGGATGGACGCCAAGGCTCTGCCACATGTAAGCCTGACTGCACCTCTGCAGGATGGATCTTGAGAGTGTCCGTCTCCTAGAATGATTGTGAGGATTAAGTGACTACACTGAGAGCTGAACACAGAGCCTGAGATTTGTGATAGTGCTGGCTGCCCATTAGAATCACCTGGGGGAGCTGGAAAGAAGCTACATGGGAATGAAGAACTAGCATCCTAATGAAACTAGGGCCTTGGGAGGTTATAACCTTTTATACAGTCATTGCAAAGCACTGGCAGGAGTGAATGATGGATTTTGAAGTCTTTTATTCTGGGGCATTAAGTGAAAGATTCATCTGTCAGCTACATAAGCAGGAGATTTTCCTGTAATGAATAGCTGCCTTTCATGGGGCATCTTTGAAGCTTTCTGACCTTTTTCACTTTGAGGCCAGATGTGGTGCAATTTAAAAATTTTAATTTCTTTAAATTTATAATGCCAGACTTGATTCTGCTGACACTGATTACCTTTTAACACTTTTTGAAAAAATGTCTTCAAGGTCTGTTCTCTTTTTCATACTGAAAGCTTATCACTCATGCCATAGCTTCGTCTGAGGGGCTCCTTTCCCCGTAGTGATGATGTGTGTCAGCTGCGATGATTCCATGGTTCTTGTGAACAAGAAACAAATTTCCCTCCTTAAAATTATAGTACGTACTGGTGGGAGAGAAAGGATCAAATCTAATAGGAAAAGGTGCAGATTCCCATTTGAAGAATTGGTGAAATAACTTGCCCCAAATTGCTTGGAATGCAGAATGTCTCCTGCTTTGTAGGAAGCTGATGGGCACACCTCAAGACGAGGGCTAGTATAAGTCAGGGATTGGACCCCAGTGCCTGATGCAAGTGGAAACTTCACAAGAAGGGGGAAGGAAGAGGAAATGTCATTTCCTGCTGACATCAAGAGTGTGGTTGTTATGGAGCTAACTGCTGATTAGGATTGGGACTTGGATCTCCAGAGAAGCATCCTGAGGCTGGAGCCGTGTCTTCCACAGTGCTGTGTTAGGGAGGATGAGGCTGAATCCAAGATTGTCATTCATATTCAAACCCCTGAGTTGTTTTGTCTTTTTTTAGAGACAGGGTCTCCCTGTGTAGTTTGGACTAGCCTTGAGCTCATGTTGTAGCCTATGCTGGCCTCAAACTTGCAGTCATCCTTCTTTCTCTCCTCTGAGTGCTGTGATTCTAGGGAGCTTTTGGCCTCCTGGACACTGGGACCCCATGTGGCTGCTGGAGTTCTCACTCTTCTCCTTGGCTGCGTCTATGGCTGCTCTTCTTTCATCTCTGTACAGGCTACCTCTTCTCCAAGGTGTGTACTCTGAGCTCTCCCAGACACTTCTGTTCCTCGTCTTTCCAGTTTGTGGAGAGCTTTGGAGATCGCTGCTTTGTGCCAGGATTTTCAAGTCAGGTCTGAGTTCAAGTCTCAGCACCACTTTCATCAATCCTATAGTCTTGACCATCATGTGGGATTGTTCCACATCTAAAGGGTAAATTCATCGAAAAGACCCAGAGTCTCTCCAGCTCCCTCATGCATTCTAAATGTGTTTGTTGCTTCTCTTGGAGACACCATGGCTCTTCTGTTGGGAATTGCCTGCCGCCAGTTAGTCCTCTTGTCCTCTGAATGATTCTTCCTTGGGGTAGGACTGCAGTTTCATCCTTTGGTCCACTGTCTTGTGTAGCACCTGGGCCGCCTGGACAGTTCAGCAGAGCTCTTGTACTTGTCTTCCTTTCTGTATAGAGCTATACTGAACCTTTGCTGCACCTCTCTCATCTTATTTTCATTCTTTAAAGAAAGTAGTGGCATTGCTAGTTTTCAGATACAGTCTTCAGTTTGGCCTCATACTTGCAGTCTGTCTGCCTCAGCCTCCCAAGTAGGCAAGTTTATGTGGGCTTTTCTAGCTTCCTGTGTGTGTACTAACAATTTTTCTTCCTGCTCTGTCACATACTTGACTTTGTTCTTTATTGCTTGGCAAAATAGATACTTAGGAATACATATGGAATGAGAAAAACTTCACCCATCATAAGGGTCACACCTGAGACTTCTGTAAAGGACAGTTAAGAGAAAAGTGCCAGCTGAGCGTGGCAGTGTGCCTGAAGTCCAGCTACTTGGGAGGCACAGGCAAGGATGATTGCTCGGGCCCAAAACTTTAAGAAATAGTATCACTGGTAAAATAAGACTTCCCCATCTCCAAATAGAGCAACAACAGTAAGAGAGTAAAACAGGACAGATTTTAGTTGAAGGCTTATATGACCTAAGGGCCTTGAGAAATGAAGACTCAGGGCTTAGGAGATACCTTGGCGATCTAAGCGCCTGCCTGGCAAGTGCAAGGACCTAGGTTCAGTCCTCAGTGCTGCATGTTGTGCTGGCTATGGAAACCAGGCGTGGTGGTGCACGCCTGTAATCCCAGTGCTGGGGATGCTGACACAGGAGGGTTACTATGAGTCCAACCTGCATGGCAAGACCCTGTACTAAATAAATAATTTTTAAAAATAATAAATTGAAGACTCAGAGAGCTAGCTGTCCAGCTTCATGCTTAGAATCTGTAAGTGGACAGAGGGGTGTGGTGTAATAGTGTGGACCAGTGGGGGCTGCCGTGAAGCCTGTCTGTTCAAATTGCTGCCATGGCTATGTTGGCGTTCTTCCTCAGAGGTATGGGCAGGATGACCTGGAACAAGGCTCTTACAACATCTCAGACAAAGTGGATCAGAAAATGTCTTTATAGGCATGTCCTCTATAAAGAGATGGGAGGTTTAGGTAATATTTCTAGGTTGTATGACTTGTTTTAGAGGAGGGGGTTTTTGTTCCTATAACCCATGTAGGGATAGTGAAACTGTGGTTTCTGTGACTTGCCCTGGGGAAGAAAGGAAGGCAGAGAGGAAGGGCAGAAGGTCTGAGAGACTTCATTTCTGAGGCCTCTTTTCATTCTCCAAAAGTACTCAACATGCCAGAACTGGGTATTGTTTATGAGCCCACCAGCCCAGTGCTTATTTCTCAGTTGAAAAATCAGATTGTAGGGGGCCTGGCCCTAGCTCAGGTCTTTAAGTGGCTGCTTCCACAAAGCTGTCAGCCTCAGGTTGCTGGAGTTCGATCCTCACACCTCTCCAGCTGGCCAAAAGTGCCCTGAAGGCATTCGAGGAACAACAACAACAACAACAACAACAACAACAACAACAACAAACAACAACAACAAAAAAAAACAAAAAAACCCCACCTTATTGGGGGCCTGGCTCTAGCTCAGTCCTTTAAGTGGCTGCTTCCACAAAGCTGTCAGCCTCAGGTTGCTGGAGTTCGAACCTCACAACTCAAGTGCCCTGAAGGCATTGGAGGAACCAAAAAAAAAAGAAAAAAAAGAAAAATCAGATTGTAACCCATTTATGC